TTATTTGTGTAAGTGCATTTGTATGTGTATTTCTGGGGATCTGAAATGGACTAATCTAATTTATATTATTCCTTACGGGAACAAATTCATTTGGTATTGGCACTCGAACAGCATTCTGGAATAAAATAAGTTCGAAACTCGGGGTACCACTGTATAAGTAACTGGGAGAACTTGAGGCAATAACAAAAGTAGAATAACTGAATTATTTACAAGAGTTAGTCAGTGCTAAACAATGGAAACTAAAAAACAACAATTCAATACAATTTTTTTTTTCTTTAGAAAAGTTTGTGTACTAAGAGAACTGGTTGAGTTTTACTAACCAACATGCTAAAAACAAGTAATACAATATAATTTAACTTAATCCTACCCAATCTAAGATCAGCCTAAATTTAGGTAGAATTATTTATCAATGAAATGCAGTAAACTATGAGATTTTTAAAGACTTTCAGTTCATGTGTCCAAATTTGCATTTAGTCTGTTTGGCAAAACTGTGTATATTCCAGTAAGATTTGTATGCCCTCAAGATAGCTGTATCAAGTTAATGCTATGCATTCATGCCTAAATAAAAAAACAAGCACAATAAAAATCAACACACAACAAAATATGAAACTCACTTGGCACAAAATATGGTCATGATCACCTTAATCTTCTGGCTTCACGTTCAGATTCCAACAGTGTTAGGATGTCCCCTTCACGGACTGGTCCCTTCACATTACGGATGATGGAACGATGAGATTCGTCCAAGAATTCAACACGAACCTGAGTACACTGACCTTGAGATCCAGTACGACCCAGGACTTTTGTAACCTGAAATTGACCAAATTGAAAATCAATTACTTTTTAACAATAATATGACAAGAATAAGTCAGTGCTATAGCTGGAACAATTCACAAAGAACCCCAACTAGAAGGGGAAACTTTAGATAAAAATTTTGTCTGCCCTGGACAATCATCATCACAACTGAGAATGCTAGGATAATGTAGTTGCAACTTTAAAAAAGTACAGGACTGATTGAAATATCTTAAGTTTACTCTTAATCATGGGTTATTAGTGAATTGTATAATTACACTGATGAAAAAATCTAATGACAGAACTATCAATATTGTAATGAATTACAGTTTATTAAATTTAGATTTAGACAGGTTATATGAATTCCCCAATTTTAAAATAGTGTGGAACAAACTCAAAGTCAGGCCACCAAGGTAGGCACTTAGAGTAGCTTAAAAAAAAATTAGGTAGACAAATACAAGAGATATAAAAAATATATACAATACAGCATTAACTTGTACAATGGCTCTGAAGGAAAAGGCCAGCAAAGTTTCTTGAGCTTTCAATTTACCAACAAGCAAATTACCAAGGAGCAAGATTCCACGAATCTGGTTACAGAGTTCCTCTTTATATTCCTTCACGTCATTACATTCATTACGGGGGGGAGCACCAAACCCATAGGGGGTCATACAGCGTCTGGGGGGAAAGGGAGGTATTCAGATTCGATCCAAGGAAGAGGTGGCATAGGTCCAACATTCCTTCAGAACCTTTGAAAACAGTTCAAGGAGCCAGAGGCTTTTTTGGCATCAATTTACTTATTTGCTTGAAGACAGCCTGTATAATTTTTGTCCTGACCTGTATAATTATTATTTATTTCCAGAACTTCATTTAAGAACATAAGGAACACTGCAGCAGGCCTACTGGCCCATGCATGTGCAATAATGAAATCATTATTTCCGCTTTTGAATATTGAAAATTATACACATTTTCTAAGTCACTAATAAGTTGCCCAGTTATATTAAAATTACTTTTTTTTTATGCTGGATGAGTTCACTAAGTGGGTATGACTTGGACCTGCCTAGCATGGGCAAAGAGGCTTGCTCAGTGCCCCACTGTTCTTAAATGAGATCCTAATAGCATAGAACTAAAGCAAAAACTGAAATTAAATCATAATAACAAAGAACTAGAGTAAAAACCGACTCCAAGCATGCTATAACTTAAAGGCAGATCATAAATCCTCGAATGTTTAATTTTCAATGTCACAAAACTTAAAACACAATTAGTAGTAAACCCCGACACCAAAAAACTTATTAATTAGCATGGAAAGAAGGATGGAGGAGTCACTTAAAGCTAGAAAATACTGACTCGTGCGAGCTTGACTGGCTTGTCCATGTTTACAGCGCGAGTTCTGCCGTGGGAGAGGAAACAAGATCTTGGAAATTACTTGACGACTGTGCAAATTTTCGACATGCTCGGAAAATATTTACTGTAATTATTTCTGTTTTGGTGTAAGTAACTGTTATTTGTTTAGGTTTAAAACGTAAGTTCAAATTTTTACAATGTTTCTATATAGCATGTTTTTTTTATTTTATCATTTTAAAACATAAGTCAGGCGGAGCACTGACGCAGGTCTACTGGCCCAATACTTTTAATGTTCTTGATGAGCATGCATTTATAAAACTGTTGTAAATCAGTAAGAAATTAATTACGTAAACTATAAAAATTACAAAAATGTAGTTTATAAAAATGATTTAGTGGAATACTCTCGCTTTATAAACTCCACACACAATCTCCCGCAATTTGCTGAACACGTCCATATGCCTCTACATTTTTTTTTTTTTTGAGAAAATATACATTAAAACATATTTTAATACAATCTGAAATAATCATGAGTCATATGCTAAACATCACATTTCCGCTTATCAATGAATGGAACAATTCACATATATATATATATATATATATATATATATATATATATATATATATATATATATATATATATATATAAACAACCAAATAATAAATGTTCCACATATATTACACTCCACACACACCATGAGCACACTTACCACACCCCACATACACGAGGAGCACATATATCACACCCCACATACACCAGTATACATACCATACCCCACTAACACCAGAAGCACATATACCAATCCCACATGCACCAGGAGCACATATATCATACACTACATACACCAGGAGCACATATACCACACCCCACATACACCAGCACATATACCACACCCCACATACACCAGTACACATATCACACCCCACATACACCTAGATCATATATACTACACATATACATCATCTAACATAAGCAGGGAGTATACATAATTACACCAGCAGCACACGTTACACCCATCATACTCCGGAAGCACACCACAAGCATAACTCCTTTCCTGTAGTTACAAAGAGGTAATTACACATCACACTCAGTATACACTAGCTCACACACACACACACACACACCATACCCAACATATGCCAGAAGCATACATACATTCAGATTATTATTATAATCAAGGAGGAAGCGCTAAACCCGGAGGATTATACAGCGCCTGGGGGGGGGGGGATGTGGAAGGCATTCAGGCTTAATTCGGGGAACTGGAGCACAGATCTAATTCCCTAAATCAAGAGCCCCTCACCAACATCAAGGAACCTTCCTTGAGGGGACATACATTCAGAGCATATACCACACCATACATTAGCTGGGAGCAAACACACCACATCTCAAAACCCTGTCCAGGTATACAACATACGCTAGGGACGGGGGACATGGAACATCTTAACAAATCATCCATATGAACACCCAGTCGAAGTTTATATCCCCTCTACAGGGGGCACACCCGCCACCATAATCAATGGCCTCATTAAATACAAACAGCCCCTCTACTATCCCTTAATTGCTCATTTATATCCCCAAAACTCCATCCTTGAAACATATTCATGTGCCAGCATTATTATTATTATAATCAAGGGGGAAGCGCTAAACCCGGAGGATTATACAGCGCCTGTGGGGGGATGTGGAAGGCATTCAGGCTTAATTCGGGAAACTGGAGCACAGATCAAATTTCCTAAATCAAGAGCCCCTCACCAACATCAAGGAACCTCCCTTGAGGGGTCATGTGCCAGCAATGGTGTGAAGTGTGAGCACAACACTCCACTAGGGCTCAGGAACGTTTCTGTGAATTGCCAAGGACACTTTTAGACTGACTGAACCTTTTACTGCTGGGGAGAAATCATTCGCAACAAGTCTTAGGTATGTAGCACCTAGATTGTTCAATAGGTTGCCAATGTCTGTTAAGAGTCAGGAATTTGTTCATGCTCAGTTGAAAGCACATCTCTTTCTAGAGTTTTTGATCCTATAACTCTTGGATATAAACTTTAGTATTTCTTCTTTATCATTGTTATTGTATTTATGGTTATTATTATTGGTCAAATAACCCTAAACCCTAGTTGTTTAATATCTTTATTATGCACCCCATATCCATCCAATGGTCAGTTGTAAAATTATATTAGAGGCATATAATGGGTCCAGGAATTAGATCCTAATGTTTCGAAGGTTAAGCAAGATAGTGGTAATGAACTACTGTGTTTTACAAGTTCAAGTTGTTAATGAAGGCATAAGTTTATTTAGGTACAGGTACACACAAATAGTTACACAAATTATCATATACAAAAACATATATAAATTACCTAGGATAATCCCCAAAAAAGTCAAGTGACTTATTCCCATTGGGGTCCTTGAGAGCACTAAATCAATACTGGTCAGACAGCATCTGGGGAAACTGAAGGCAATCAACTTTGATTCAAAGACAGGAAGATCAAATCCATTTCCTTGGATCAATTATTATTACAGTCAAGTGCTAAACTCGAAAGGGTTTCCTTGGATCAAAATCCCTTAACAGACATCAAGGAATGCTACCTGCCCCAAGAAATATCATTATTATAATTATATCCAAGTGCTAAACCTAGAAACATCAAATACTGCAGCATCAAATAAATATAATTTCCTGCAATTTGTATTAGCAGGGATACACAATTTTGTCTCTATCTTGGCAATTCAAAACACAAATACAATATACAGTACTGTACTGTATGTCGACTCTTTAGGGACATTTTCTATCTGGATGAAAGAAAATGTAATAACTGTTTTTTTTCTCATTCTGAAAAGTTATCACATTCTTCAAAAGGATATACATGAAACTAGTATATTTAAATTAGTTCATATACTTTATTTACATTAATAAGAACACCCTACCATACATTACTGCTGGATAACAAAGTACAGTAATGTTGTTATAATGCTACCTCCACCTTTAAAAAAATGTTTTATTTTAAAGAGGCTCCATAAAATAGGACCATTCATTATACATTGATAAACAGTATACAGTACTGCAATATACTGACATATTGTATACATATATTACTGTACAGTACATGCAAAGAGTATATATGTACACTGCATTCTATACAGTACTGCAGATAGTTATCAAAAGTTACTGCATTGCTATACTTGTAATTCTGTAGTATCGTTATTACATTAAAAACTGAATGCTAAACTCTGGTCTTTAAAATTATGCAAAAAGGTGACATACAGCATATGCGCACCACACTAACAAATATTCCGAAAGTTTGTATTAATGTTTACAATAATTTGAAATTAAGAGATCACACTGAAAATCATTCCAATAATAGAGCATGTATATTGTTTCACTGTCTGCCTCAGATAATTCATGTACTGCCTCAATTTAACAACTGTTCATGACCAAGGAAAAATCTACACTGTAGAAAATATTTAGCCATTTTATATGCAGCATTTCATCAAGTACTTTCAGTTTATGCTTTATTACTGATATGCTGTACATAATTATGGATAAAATTGCACTCTTATACTCAAGTTTTTCTGTACAATATTGTTTACTAGGATTTTGGAAGCTTAGCAAAGTATAGATATCAAATGTAATTTTATGCCAAGAATGTAGGTAGCAAAATATATTAAGAATCCAACAGAATTTTTAAATAATGCACTATCAAATATTTATACACAAAATTCTGATGATGATTAACAATTATCCTATTATTTACCATTCTTATAACTTGAATAATGATTGACATGATTCTACTAAAATACAGTAACAAAAAATTCAAACTGGTAGATCACTAGTGGAAGTTCTTTTCTCGTTGGAGACGACTAGTATACGTCCTAGAGACAAGGTTCCAGGAGTCCATATATCTGTCCATGCACATTGCTAAGCATTTCTGGGGAAACATTAAAGGTTCAATTAAAAAAAAAAAACAAGGTTTTGTTTTTAGCACTTCCCAATGTAAACATAAAACATTCATTGAAGTGCAACTTAGATGCTAAGTATTCTAGCATGTGCAATACTTCATTACGTCAGACTTATGAAGTAATATACCTTCTTAACCCTTAAACGGTCCAAACAGATCGACGTTCAAATTCATAGTGCTACAAAAGTAGATCTACTTTTTTTTACATATTTTCAAATATAACAAAAAAAAATGTAGATAAAAGTTTTTTTTACATGTTCACATGTAAAACAAAAAAAAAAAATCTACATTTTTTTACATACTTTCAGATGTTGAAAAAACGTATATATACGTTTGGACCATTTAAGGGTTAAGATTAATTTTATAATGCATTTCCTCAAAGCCAAAAGTAAAAGATTGCACATGAGTATTTGATGAATGTCAGAATACTTGAAAATGTTATAATGTAGATATAATTATTTTAGCACTTTCATAAAGCTCTCAAAGTTTCACATTACTATAGTACTTATTTCACATGATGGATTACACAAAGCTGATTACATATGTGGAGAAAAGGGCAGACTTTGTTATACAACAAATTCCTATAAATAACCTTTATCATAATAAAATATTTTAAAAATGCATTACATAATACATTGTATAAAGATACAAAATTAAACTTAGCACTGATATACAGAATACAGTGGACCCCCGTATAATGATATTAATCCGTTCCTGAGAGATCATTGTTATGCGAAATTATCGTTATGCGAATGAATTTTCCCCATAAGAAATAATGGAAATCAAATTAATCCGTGCAAGACACCCCAAAGTATGAAAAAAAAAAATTTACCACATGAAATATTAATTTTAATACACACAAACTGGAAAAGACATGCACAGTTACATGACACTTACCTTTACTGAGGATCTGGTGATGATTGATGGGATGGGAGGAGGAGAGAGTCTTAGTGTTTAGAAGGGGAATCCCCTTCCATTAAGACTTGAGGCGTCAAATCCTTTTCCGGGGTTACTTCCCTTCTTCTTTTAATGCCACTAGGACCAGCTTCAGAGTCACTGGACTTTTGTCACACAACATATCTGTCCATAGAGGCCTGTACCTCCCGTTCCTTTATGACTTTCCTAAAGTGGTTCACAACATTGTCAGTGTAATAGTCACCAGCACGGCTTGCAATAGCCGTGTTAGGGTGATTGTCATCAAAAAAGGTTTGCACTTTAAGCCACATTGCACAGATTTCCTTAATCTTTGAAGTAGGCAACTTCTTCAATTTCTCTCTCCCCTCCTCCGAACCAGTTTCCTCAGGTGTGGCCTCATGCTGATGAAGATGATCTAGCAGCTCATCAGTGGTTAGTCCTTCATTGTCCTCCTCCACCAACTCTTCCACATCATCCCCACTAACCTCCAACCCCAAGGACTTTCCCAATGCCACAATAGATTCCTCAACTGGCATAGGATTCCCAGGGTTAGCCTCAAACCCTTCAAAATCCCTTTGGTCTACACATTCTGGCCACAGTTTCTTCCAAGCAGAGTTCAAGGTCCTCTTAGTCACTCCCTCCCAAGCCTTACCTATAAGGTTTACACAATTGAGGATATTAAAGTGATCTCTCCAAAACTCTCTTAGAGTCAATTGAGTTTCTAAGGTCACTACAAAGCACCTTTCAAACAGAGCTTTTGTGTACAGTTTTTTGAAGTTTGCAATAACCTGCTGGTCCATGGGCTGCAGGAAAGGAGTGGTATTAGGAGGCAAAAACTTCACCTTAATGAAGCTCGTGTCCCCACAAAGTCGCTCTGCCACGTCTGTAGGATGACCAGGGGCATTGTCTAACACCAGGAGGCACTTAAGGTCTAATTTCTTTTCAGTTAGGTAATTTTTCACATTGGGGGAAAATGCTTGGTGTAACCAGTCATAGAAAAAGTCCCTAGTGACCCATGCCTTACTGTTTGCCCTCCACAGCACACACAAATTAGCCTTGAGGATATTCTTTTGCCTGAACGCTCTGGGAGTTTCAGAGTGATACACTAATAAAGGCTTCACTTTGCAATCACCACTAGCATTGGAACACATGAGAAGAGTAAGCCTGTCTTTCACAGGCTTATGTCCTGGGAGTGCCTTTTCCTCCTGAGTAATGTAGGTCCTGCTTGGCATTTTCTTCCAAAACAGGCCTGTTTCATCACAATTAAACACTTGTTCAGGTTTCAGTCCTTCACTGTCTATGTACTCCTTGAATTCCTGCACATATTTTTCAGCTGCTTTGTGGTCCGAACTGGCAGCCTCACCATGCCTTATCACACTATGTATGCCACTACGCTTCTTAAATCTCTCAAACCAACCTTTGCTGGCCTTAAATTCTCTCACATCATCACTAGTTGCAGGCATTTTTTAAATTAAATCCTCATGTTCCGATTGTATGCTTGGATGTTACCGCGGAGGCTGGCTGGTAAACAATACCACCGGCGGAACGTGAGGCTGGACTCAGGCCGCACATTAGGTGCGTCTCGGACGAATAGCGTTGAGCGGGTTTTTTTGCGGTATGAGAGGCAAAATCTTAGCGATAAAATGTATCGGTATGCGGATTTAACGTTATCTGATGCCAATGGTATGCGGGGGTCCACTGTATTTTTGTCAAGTTTTATACAGTACTACATTTACAGTATGTTAAATAATTCATGCATGCACACTCACACACATTGTATACTGTATTTTAAAAATTTTTTTTACTAATTTTATTAGTCATGCTTATTTACAGGGATTTATTATAAAAAATATGCTCTTTTTTACATAATTAATACTTCACGTAATTAATTAACCTCATGTAATCAGAATGTAAAATCATGTGAAATTTTGAGGTTTTTAAAAGTAATTTACAAAAAACTTCACTTACTTGTTCAGAACTATCTAGAGATGATCCAGGCTTTGAGATGCACTTGGAAAAGCATTTTTCACCCATTTTCTGTATGAATAATAAATAAGGTTAGATTTACTGTATTTTGGGAAAAGTTTGTTTACAAGACATGCATTTCAAAATACTGTATAGTGTACGTAATCACAAAGAATCCTACTTAAACCAAAATTCTCAGATACTTATATTAAGGAAAAACCTTGTCTTAGCAATTTTATAATGCAGTACTGGTGACCTCTCACACACAGTGTCCGTGGTTCAATCCCTGGCAAGGGCGGAAACATTAGGAGTGTTTCCTTACACCTACTGTCCCTGTTCAGTTAGCAAGTAGGTAGATACCTGGGTGTTAGTTAACTGGTGTGGGTCATATCCTGGGGGACAAGACTGAGAACCCCAATGGAAATAAGACGGACAGTTCCTCGATGACACACTGCCTTTCTTGGGTTATCCTAGGTGGCTAACCCTCCAGGGTTAAAAATCTGAACAAAATCTTATCTATCTTAACTTACTGCAATAACAAATGCTAGAGTAAGAGCAAAGCAACATTTATGAAAGGATTCAGAGAAACCAGTTAGCCAGAATTACGAGTCCTGGTGGTGGGAAGCACAGTGCCTGCACTCTAAAGAAGGGGGCAGGGATACGTATTACAGTTTGTAGAGTTACCTGAATTGTGATGTCTGTGCACTTCTGGCAAGATAGTCATTGAATGAATGACTAAGTGAATTTCCTTTTTGGGGTTACCCCTATCTAGGCACGAGATGGCCGGTGCATAAATAAATACTACTATAATAAAGTGAAATAAAATTGAATCTCTCTTCTTCTTTGACTCACCCTGCCTTGGCAGGAGCTGGCAGTCAATAATAATAATAATAATAATAATAATAATTGCCCTCAGACATGACATGTCTGTGGTGTGAATATAATGCAGAGAATTCGTAGTTTGGAAGTTAGGAGGAGGTGCGGGATTACCAAAACTGTTGTCCAGAGGGCTGAGGAAGGGTTGTTGAGGTGGTTCGGACATGTAGAGAGAATGGAGCGAAACAGAGTGACTTCAAGAGTGTATCAGTCTGTAGTGGAAGGAAGGCGGGGTAGGGGTCGGCCTAGGAAAGGTTGGAGGGAGGGGGTAAAGGAGGTTTTGTGTGCGAGGGGCTTGGACTTCCAGCAGGCATGCGTGAGCGTGTTTGATAGGAGTGAATAGAGACAAATGGTTTTTAATACTTGACGTGCTGTTGGAGTGTGAGCAAAGTAACATTTATGAAGGGATTCAGGGAAACCGGCAGGCCGGACTTGAGTCCTGGAGATGGGAAGTACAGTGCCTGCACTCTGAAGGAGGGGTGTTAATGTTGCAGTTTAAAAACTGTAGTGTAAAGCAACCTTCTGGCAAGACAGTGATGGAGTGAATGATGGTGAAAGTTTTTCTTTTTCGGGCCACCCTGCCTTGGTGGGAATCGGCCAGTGTGATAATAAAAAAAAAAAATAATAATAATGCATACAAAATTTATTTAGAAATTCAAATGAAAAAAAAGCTTGAATATAAAAGAAATCTACTAAAACAAAAAAATTTTATATTTTGCACCTTCATGTGAGTGATGGGCTCTTTTGAGTTTTTTTTTCTACTGTACTTCTTTGGATCAAACCTGACTGCCTCCAATTCCCCTTTCCCCAATCACTGAAAGACTCCTCCACTTCTCCATAATTTTTTTTTTCAACAAACTGGCCGTATCCCACCAAGGCAGGGTTGCCCAAAAAGAAAAACGAAAGTTTTTCTTTTTAAATTTAGTAATTTGTACAGGAGAAGGGGTTACTAGCCCCTTGCTCCCTTCTCCATAAATATAATAATAATAGTTAAAAACACTGCAACAATACAAAGTACTGTATTGTTTATTAGTTTAAACACTGAATAGCTTTCAAATGTAATTTTAAAATACAATCTATAAACCAAAACTGTATACTACAGTATATCAATATGTATTAATGGAAATGTTGGTGGGTGTAGAGCTCTTAGTTATGACTCTGCACAACTTGCAAGTGTGAAAACACCTCAAATCCTACAGCAGATATCAGCTCGATACTGTATGTATAACAGAAAATATCTTTTATTAGGAGACCTAAAATACAATACTGAGTATTATATACACGTATACTCAAAAAATGCTAGAATGCAATGAAAGCAAACTGTCTGAAATTTTACATTCTGTTAGACAAAGAACATGGTACAGTACTGTACTACTGTACAACTCTGAAGGAAAACTGGCAGTCTGAAATTTTTTGGAGGTTGGGGCTTTGTAGTACTATGCTTAAACATTTTAAAGGTATTTAAACCATGTAATGGTAGTAAATATGTGAATAAAGACACAGGATATAAACAGAACAAGAGTGAAATAAGGTTATGTTTGGTTATTTTAAGTTGGGTAGGTGGGTTTCATTACCTCATTTCTATCCATTTGCACAACACAATACAGTGGTACCTTGACTTACGAGTGCCCCAACTTACGAATTTTCCGAGTTATGAGCAGTCACTCAGTCAAATTTTTGCTTTGAGTTGTGAGCCAAAATCCGAGTTACGAGCGAGCTTCAGATACGCTGCCACTGGTTGGTACTTATAAAACAATGCTAGTGTGATGTTCTCACTGGAGTAATCGTGTAATTATCTTTAGTTATTCTACAAAAAAATAAAATTGGTAAGTTTTTGCCATTTTCAAAATATCTTGCCCTTTACTCCTAAACAAATCCCAAAATATTTGGAATACATATTTCTAATATTCCACAAGCCAATTGTAGAACAATAATTTTTTTTAATGGTTCCTGTCAATAATATTGCGTTTACTGTACTTCAATAATAAATGGTGGGCTTCACGAAATAAGTGAATAACTTACTTCCAAGATATTCACCAGGAACACGGGCCGGCCTCCAGTCTCCGGAAAAAAAAATTTCCCAGAAAATTGCTTTTAAGTGTTTTCCTTATGAAACTAGTGATCTAGTGCAGTTAGCTTCTCAAAAACTCCATTTTCTCTTACCCAGGACCAAAGAACACATTATAGGAAGGAGCAGTAATGATTTTATATGCTCGGACTGGTCCTGGACACTGGCCATATTATGGCCTATTTTATTCATTCTGTCATATTAGATCAATTCTGATAAATAAATAAGCCACGGAGTTAATATTAGCGTTATATTGAAGTATTGTCTCCTGCCTCTCGAGACTCAGGTTTTTTGGGGGCTGGAATGGATTAATGGCATTTTAATTAATTTCAATGAGGACAATTGATTTGATATACAAGCAAATTGAGTTACGAGCTTGGTCATGGAATGAATTAAACTCGCACGTCAAGGTACCACTGTATCTCAAATGTAAAACAATTTAATATTGTATAATTCAAACTATAGTACTGCACACAATACAATTTTTACTTCCTTGCAAGTTTACGCTGAGATTCTGTAGTTACAATAATGAGTTGTGGTGCAAAGAGAGCAATTATCATGCCACAGCATTATGGGCAGACTAAATTAATGGCTTACAGACTACTTAATATTAGAGAAATTGATCATAGTTTGTTGAAGTTGTACATCTGTTTATATTTAAAGCAGACAGTAAGTTAACTCAAGTTACAATCTGGTGATATTACATTGGGACAATTTGAAAGTATTTTATAGGTTGTCTATATCAATAGTAAATAATGAATCATTGAAATTTGCCAAGCAGTCCAAGCATAATTTATGGAATACTATACGCTTACTACTTAATTTACTATCATTATTCATTTGCTAGAGAAGTGCTAAACCCATTGGGGTTATACAGCACTTTGAGAGTAGGAGGGTATTAGGTTTGATTTGAGAAAGGGGATGGTATCCCCAGTTTCTTTTATCATGAGCTTTTCACCAGAATTAAGGCATTTGCAAAAGGGGTACACTTAGTTTACATTTGCATTATATATTACGTTCATAGGGAGCACTAAACAAATACGGGAGACTTCTGCTACTGCCTTGGTGGAGTACAGACATCTTGCTTTCATTGGATCAGTTAGTTTAGCTTAATATCTTTATTATGCGCCCCATACCTATCCTGTGGGCGGTAGTCAAAAGATTACAGAGGTACATAATTAGTCCAGGGACTGGACTCCAAAGCTTTGATATCTGAACAAGTTACAAAGGTAATGAACTAGAGCTGGTCACAATCATGACAAGTTACAAAGGTAATGAATCATAAATACGTCAATACATGGATACAATCATGAACAAATTACAGAGTAATGAGCAATTAACATTCCAGGGAATGCATCATTGCCCCAACAACAGATGTTGGATCATCGGTGACAAATTTTCTTGGAACACTTGTCCTCATCTTACTGTGCTTGCTGGCCACATTAAGAGCAAGGGCACCATTCAGTGGCTCCATTTTTCTGCTAACAGTGGGTCCTACAACCCACAACAAACACACACTGGGGGTTATGCAGTGCCTGGGAAATGGAAGGCATTCAGATTCGATCCAAGGAAGGTCAGCTCCATTTCCTAGCCCCATGAGCCCTTCACCGGCATAATGTTAGCTCCATTTCCTTGTAACAAGAGCCGTTAACTGGCATCAATGCATCTCCCATGAAAGAGTTTATTTCCTTGTGTAGTACACAAAGTGTAGTTTACATATATTAAAATATTGCTAAACAAGAAGGCGGCTTCTACCATACATGTGCATTTCAAGGACCCCAATGGGAATAAGTCACTTTGTCTGACTTTTTTGGGCTATCCTAGGCAATTTACACTATGTATGATAACTGTACTTATGTGTACGTGTACCTAAATAAACTTACTGAACTTAGGTCTAAAACTTGCTTGGCCTCACCGTGAGTAATTCTTGTGTGTTGGCAATGATGATTTGCTGTTTAACTTGGTCCATGAGCACCTCCCGCTGCGATGATGACATTCTCTCAGTGTTCAACGAGTCCATAGTTTTTATTTTATTTATAGGGAAATGCTAAACCCGCAGGGTTCATGCAGTGCCTGAGTAGTGGCAGTAAGAAGGTTTTGGTTGTTGGACTTGAAGGGCCACTGTACTTGAAGCCGTATTGAGCTTACCTCCTGTTGCACCTCAGTCGATGATATATTGCTCAAATGTGAGCAGATTACAAACAAAATACATATTTTTTTTTGGCAAAAAGAAAGATACAAACTTGCAAAGAAGGTTTTGTGTCTTGTGTTATATTGCAGTCATAACACAAGACAAAACCTTTGACATCGTGTCCGACACAACCTGTTCAAAAACTCAATGTGAATAAAATGCCCTAGGATCTGGAATTCCTTGTCTGAAATATCGAAAAGTCCATTATCTGCCAATCGATTCAGAGCTATTATTTAAAAAGCACCTCATATCCTTAACGTAACTGAAACAGCAATACGACTGTCACACAAAACCAGCTCATTCACTTCCGTTGCTGTTCTTTCAGCCAACGTTCAACTCCCATAGAAAATTGATAACACATCAGTTTGTGTCCCAGGATGTGACCCACACCAGTCGATTAACACCCAGGTACCCATTTACTGACGGGGAACATAGACAACCGGTGTAAAGAAAGCCGCCCAATGTCCCTACCCGCGCTGGGAATCGAACCCAGCCCGCGCCGTGTGAAGCGAGAGCTCCACAAAACTGATCACTTAATCAGTTTAAAATAATAAATAACACTTTTGAAATTGTACCATTTGTTCACTAGCTACCTCTCTTATTATATGCCGAATGTTGAAGACGGTGTAAAGCAACTTAAGTTAAACTACATTTTACAAAACTGCTCACAAACAGTGTCCAGAATATCTTGCTGCCAAGTTTGTTAAGGTTGGGAATCAAAACCAGTATAATATTAGGGAGAGTGAACACATTTTTGCAGTACCTACAGTAGGTGATCATACTTCAAACATCTTTTATTGTACAACAATCAAGAAACAGAACGGATTGCCGGCACATGTCAAAGCCTGTCTTAGCATGAGCCAGTTAAGGAAAAGAGGTGAAAGGTATTTAATGAACGAAGCTACACTATGTATAATTGTACTTATGTGTACCCGTGCCTAAATAAACTTACTATACATGTGTTTGCAGTTAACTGCATTAAAAATCCTACCTATTAGTCTATGTCAGTATCCGAACTAACTTTTAAGTATTAGGATTAGTTTGCCCGAAATGTTTTGCTTACATGTAAACTACACTATCTGTACAGCCCAATGAAATAAAAAATGCATTTGTATTGTAATAATAATAATATAATATTATTGTTATACTTTACTAAGGTTAATGACCGGCTTTCCCGAAATCTTGGGATAATAGCAGCCTGGAAAAAAGTGGGAACTTGCTTTTAGTGCCACAATCAAAATCGACCTGGCAAACAACCAAAAACAAACATTTCAGAAAGTACACACAAACTTTGCCGCCCAAACGCAAAGCAGAAGGAAAAAAGACTGTTCAACACTAGGCAATGTTGATGTTGTGGTTTAGTGATAGTTGCAGTGTGCAACCCATCATCTGTAAATGAAATGCTCTACTATTCCTTAATTTCTGCTATTTAAACAAATAATTATTTTTATTTTTTTTTCGTATAAGCCATTACGAGGGAACACATGAGTATCATAGAGGGTGCCGTGTACTGTGTTAAAGTCAAACAACTGTAAATAAAATATAGGAGTTTATCCATATTACTGTTTATTTATTAAATTTGTATATAAATTCTTTATATTTTCTAACTACACTGAAGGTTATAAGTGTTGTTAGAGAGGGGACATATTTACCATGTGCAGGGCTGCCAGGCAGTGTGTCCAACTCGTTCTTCCGTCAAGATGGCTGCTCCGATCAGCAAGAAGAAAAAGGTAGTGTTATTTTCCACTCCTCTCGCTCTCCTGTATAGGTTTATAAGACCTAACCTGTGAATTAATTTATTGAGGCACTGTAGTTTGGCCACGTTAAAGGGAAAGTATATCAAAGGCCTTTTGTGAAGAGTAATAAATTGGGAAAGTTTGTATTGGCGCGCGGCACGCGTCCAGCGTGTTGTGCTGCTAAGATCTTATACCAATTGTAAATGTACATTTTTAGTTTATAAGGAAATCAGATATTTAAGATAGGGTACTATGTTTCGCACACTAAAATAATACAGTTTAAACGTTTATGCATTGTTTCTGAATGGCTAATAGAGCAGTCTCGGGTTTTGGACTAACAAGGTTCAAGAACTGACTTAAGGGATGTACGTACACATACACACTGATATTTAGGTAATTATGGAAATCCTGGCCTGGTTTGAGCTTATCTATTCGCATTTAGTTTGAGATCTTCTTTATTTACATTTGAGAAATGCATGAATGAGAAGGGCTTGAGTGGGGACCCAAATGGTAACAAGTCAGTGACTTTTTTGGGTCATCCTAGGTAATTTACACATATGTTTCTATGTATGATACACATACTTGTGTACCTGTACCGAAATAAACTCTCTAACATTGGTTAGTAGGGTTATTGAGGCTAAAACCATGGGTAGCTTTGAGAATAAGTTCAAAAGATTAATATTAAAGTGAAAAAAATTGTATTTAAGAGGGATCTGTTAGGTATGGATCAGTAGATATGTTGTAGGTGTTCCTCCATTCTTATATGCTGAAAAGTTACCTATTGAAACCAAACTTGAAATAACATAGCTTACTCCAGTCCTCGATATGGGACTGGTGCACCTTTGTTACATTAAAGTTATTTTTATTCTTATTGGCCAGTAGCATCACTGCTGATTAGTGATTGGACCTGATACGCTGCACATACCAAAGTAAATATTTTTGCTAATATCTCCCAAAAATAACAATTTGGCTAATATTAAGTTTAAGGGGTCCAGTGAATTAGGAACATAAGAATGAAAGAACACTGCTACAGGCATACTGAGCTGTAATAATGGTAGAATTACAGACTATGGTAGGCAAAATTACACGTGCAACTAATGTGACATTTTATTACAGAAACGTTTCGCTTTCCAGGAGCTTTGTCAGGCCAAAGCTGGAGAGCAAAGTGTTGCCACAATAAAATATCCATGAGTTGCACTTGTCCTTTTACCTAACAGGCCTGTTGAGCCATGCAAGGCAAGTCCAATTCACACCCACTCATGTACCTATCCAGCCTATTTAAAGCTACTCAAAGTTCTTGCCACAGTGATGCTATCTGGGAGTTTGTTCCACTCATCTACAACTCTATTCCCAAATCAGTATTGCCCAGTATCCTCTCTTAATTTCTCCATCTTTAATCGATTGCTGCGAGCTCTATCTTGGATAGATAATACTAAGTGTTTTTTCTACAAAGCTCACACTACAGCTGTTACAGACCTAACTGATGTCATGAGAGTACTTTATAGAAAACCCATGGTTATGCAGAGCATTTCAGGCAGCCTAAGTTAATCTTGTCCCCCCCCCCCCAGGATGCAACTCAAATAATCAGGTAGTGCCCAGGTACCTAAGAATATTAAGGAAGAGCACTGCAGCACATACTGGCCCATTCTAGGCAGGCCCAATTTGCACTTGCCCACACCTATTTATGTACATGTATTTGTCTTAACATCTTTCAAGCTACTCAAGGTTTCTGTTTCAGTGACACTACTACTACTACTTGGGAGTTTGTTCCACTCATCCACAGCTCTATTACCAGATCAGTGCTTTCCTATATTTTTTTCAGAATCTAAAATTTTCCAACTTGAACCTGTTGCTGCTAGGTGATTGATCCTGGACCCAGTGTGAGAGCTGAGAATGCTACCAACGTATTACAGAATAAACATAAATGTGCTGGAAAACAGGAAGAAGGATGAACATAAGAAAGGAGGAGCATTGCAGCAGGCCTGCTGACCCATGCTAGGCCGGTCCAAGTCACATACACTTAAGAAGGAAGGGGCACTGTGTCAGACCAATTAGCACAAGCTAGTCAGGCCCAACTCTCACGCATCCACATCCACTCGTGTATTTGTCTAAAGCATTTTAAAAATACATGTTTTAACTTCATTGACGCTACTCAGGAGTATGTTAAACTACATCTGCCACTTCTCCTACCACTGCACCTGTCTGTTCAGATCTTCCTGGAGTGCTCCAGTGTCCTCGTCAGAATGAATTTGACGGCCTATTTTGGTGTCATCGGCAAACTTGCTTATGTCATTATTTATGCCTTCATTGATGTCGTTTATGTAAATTGTGAACAACAAAGGGTCCAACACTGACCCCTGTAGAACACCACTTGTGATGTCTTTCCCATTCAGATTTCTCCCCATTTATGTAGACTGTTGCTTATCTGTCAGCCACGCTTTTATCCAGGAAAAAAAGTATCTTTTTATACCATGTGCCTCAATTTTCCTCGATAGCCTCCAGTGTGGAACTCGATCAAAACCCTTAATGAAGTTCATATACACAATATCATATTCATTACCATGATCCATCTCCTCAGATACCTTAGTGAAAAAAGTTAGTAAATCCATAAGGCAGGAATGCCTCTTTGTAAAACTGTGCTGAGATTCATTAATGAATTTGTCTTTAAAGGTGGCTTTGAATAGCCTCAGCATTTATAGTTTCCAGCAATTTTCCCACTATAGAGGTTAGGCTTTTTGGTCTATAGTTCAAAGCAAAGGACCTGTCTTCTGCCTTATAGACAGGTATCACATTTGCCATTTTCCACTTATATGGCACTGTGTCAGTTTGTAGAGATATGTTAAAAAGACTAGCCAAACTTGTGAAAAGGTCATCAGGGCCCGGGGATTTGTAAGGTTTTAATTCCATGTATCGGAAATTTTTCCTTCAAAGATAGACAGAGGGCATTAAATCTGCTCACTGGAAAAGCCTAAAATTATGGAATATGAAAGATGAAAAAATGAAGAGGATATAAATACATGTAATGTTCGGAAAATATCTAACCAAGACAGGAATTACAACACTGGGTTTGCTAGAAAAATTTAGATTTAGAAAGGAAATAGGTAAGTCATTGGTTTGGTAATAGTCGTGGATGAGTTAAACTCCTGAGTACCATTAACGAAGCGAGAACTTTGGGTAACTTTAAAATGTGTTAGACAAGTTTCAGTGAGTGTGAGTTGAGCCTGTCTAGCATAAACCAGTAGGTCTTCTGCAGTGCTTCTTTCTTATGTTCTTAAACCCAAAACCTGAGCAGTGTTTCCCGACTATATTGCATATTAATGCCGTATCACTAAAGGCATTAACACATCATATTGTAGCTACAACCACCACCTCAATCTACCAGCCTCATCACCTATTGGCACTATAACCACCTTCAACCATCATCCAAGAGATGCCTATGGTACTGAGAGAAATTTTCCATGTGGGCTTGAGCCCTAGTTCAAAATTTTCAAAAAATTTATGGTAGGAAGGGAAATTTTCTGTGGGAACCAATCTGCGTTAAAAAAAATTCCAGCTTTTGTCGTATAAAACACAGATTAGAGCTGCATTTTAATAATTTTGATACCTATATAAATACGATTTCACATTCTAATGAAATGTGCTACTTATATTAGTGAAATTAGAGGCTTGTCTGTGCCTTCTTTCAGGCAGTTGCTTACATTGTCTGTGCATGGGTTTATGCTTGCCAGTACAGTACTTTAGTAAGGTTGTGGTCTAATTATATTTTGAGATTCTCTAGATAAATTACTTATAATTTTTGAGCATCAAGTGATGTACGTATTTTTGTTTGTACACTAATGTGGATTCAGAGCTCCAATTACTTGGGGGGGGGGGCTAACATGCTTCCAGGTATAGTAGTTGGCAAGATTTGACTTATTTTAAGTGTTTACCTACACGGCCTGTGGTTAGTATATTGGACTGTGTGCGGCCAGCAGTAATAGCCTGGTTGATCAGGCCTTGAACCCCCAGGAGGCCTGGTCTGGCTGAGACTGGGATGTGGGTGCATTGACTCCCAGAAACAGCCTTCAGAACAGTCAAGACAAGCAAACCTGCCACTGCAAAACAATTTTTAAGATTTGTTTCACTCTTGTATGACAGAATGATAGTACAGTGGTCTACCTACCTGGTGGTACCCTGAGTTTCAGTGTAATTCGTCCCAGAAGGCTATTCAAGTGCCGTTACCAAACAAATTTGTTCCCATGAGGAATAATGTAAATTAGATTAGTCCGTTTTAGACCCCCCAAAAGTACACTTATAAAAGCACTTACAATAATGCACTTACATAATTGTTCAAGTTGGGAGCTGTATGAAATTCGGGGTACCACTGTACCTCCATAAACAGTTGTTGCCACTTAACATAGTTTCAAATCCATTCTAATGGTTTAATTTTTTCACATTTCAGTTTGTCAAGGATGGTGTGTTCAAGGCAGAACTTAACAGGTTCCTTACTAATGAGTTGGCAGAGGATGGTTACTCAGGTGTACAGGTTCGCCACACCCCTGCACGAACAGAGATCATTATCCTTGCAACCCGCACACAGAATGTGCTAGGTAGGGTTAATGTTATGGTAATTTTATTGTATACATTCTACTGATACTCCAGAAATAATAAATTATGTAAAACAGGATGATAAACTATGCACGATTAGGGTCACACGTGACACAGTCCTTAGACAAATAGAACAATTAAAACCTAGCAAATCCCTGGACCCAGTTATATGTTGGAATCTTGGGCCAAGGATGTTGGCACAGTAAAGTATTCTCTGATTTATTCCACACTTTCTCCCATACCTGGTAGGTTAGGGACCAGGCCCTCAAATATGTATTTTCCACATATTATACTGTATGTTATCAGTATCTCTGTTTTAGAAAGAGCAATTTAAGTGTGTTGTGGCATTCCCAATAATTTAGATGGTTTATTAGTTCTTTGGACAGTATACAACCTGTGTACATTTCCAACTCTGATCTTTTTTGCATTGTTAGGTGCCATAAGAACAGAACAGCATATCATAAGAAAACAAGTGATATGAAAAGCATCATTATTGATGCTGCTGCTCTTGGTTTAAAAATTTCATAATCCACCCTGTCATTTTCCTGGTCTTTGCTGCATTTACCTTCATACATTTTCCAAATGCCAGATTTTCTTCAAACAATTATTCCTAAGTCTTTTAGGAATAATTCTCTTTTGCATGTTCCATATGGTCTGCCTGCGAGTAATTTGAATATCTGTTTCCTTACTTTTCCTGTTATACCTATTTTTCTATATTTTTAAGTTATTGCTCTATGATTGCATTTGTTAAATGCCTTTGCAAAATCCCAGGTGAGCCTGGCCCAAGGCCAGGCTCAAAGTAGAAAAACTCTTGGAACTCATCAAAGATTATTTTGTCATAGTAATTTAATAGTCAGTACTTTTGTCTCTTGAAATCCTTTAAAAAAAAAAATTATGATGTGTAGTATTAATGCTACTCTAGATTTTTATTGCTCTGCTATCTCCTATGTGAAGAGGGACTGACAGCACTTTTTAAAGCCTCTAGGATTTCACCTGAATCTAAGCTTTTTCTGTTAAGAACTCGTTATTTTTCAATTATCCCCTACATGTAAGATTGCATATGATGCATTCTAATCACAAACTATGTACGTATACAGATTGGTCAAGATACTGTACATTTTTTTTTTTTTTTTTTCAACAAGTCGGCCGTCTCCCACCGAGGCAGGGTGACCCAAAAAAGAAAGAAAATCCCCAAAAAGAAAATACTTTCATCATCATTCAACACTTTCACCACACTCACACATTATCACTGTTTTTGCAGAGGTGCTCAGAATACAACAGTTTAGAAGCATACACATATAAAGATACACAACATATCCCTCCAAACTGCCAATATCCCAAACCCCTCCTTTAAAGTGCAGGCATTGTACTTCCCATTTCCAGGACTCAAGTCCGACTATATGAAAATAACCGGTTTCCCTGAATCTCTTCACTAAATATTACCCTGCTCACACTCCAACAGATCGTCAGGTCCCAAGTACCATTTGTCTCCATTCACTCCTATCTAACACGCTCATGCACGCTTGCTGGAAGTCCAAGCCCCTTGCCCACAAACCTCCTTTACCCCTCTCTCCAACCCTTTCGAGGACGACCCCTACCCCGCCTTCCTTCCCCTATAGATTTATATGCTTTCCATGTCATTCTACTTTGATCCATTCTCTCTAAATCACCAAACCACCTCAACAACCCCTCTTCTGCCCTCTGACTAATACTTTTATTAACTCCACACCTTTTCCTAATTTCCACACTCCGAATTTTCTGCATAATATTTACACCACACATTGCCCTTAAACAGGACATCTCTACTGCCTCCAACCGTCTCCTCGCTGCTGCATTTACCACCCAAGCTTCACACCCATATAAGAGTGTTGGTACTACTTTACTTTCATACATTCCCTTCTTTGCCTCCATAGATAACGTTTTTTTAACTCCACAAATACCTCAACGCACCACTCGCCTTTTTTCCCTCCTCAATTCTATGATTAACCTCATCCTTCATAAATCCATCCGCCGACACGTCAACTCCCAAGTATCTGAAAACATTCACTTCTTCCATACTCCTTCTCCCCAATTTGATATCCAATTTTTCTTTATCTAAATCATTTGACACCCTCATCACCTTACTCTTTTCTATGTTCACTTTCAACTTTCTACCTTTACACACATTCCCAAACTCATCCACTAACCTTTGTAATTTTTCTTTAGAATCTCCCATAAGCACAGTATCATCAGCAAAAAGTAACTGTGTCAATTCCCATTTTGAATTTGATTCCCCAAAATTTAATCCCACCCCTCTCCCGAACACCCTAGCATTTACTTCCTTTACAACCCCATCTATAAATATATTAAACAACCATGGTGACATTACACATCCCTGTCTAAGACCTACTTTTACCGGGAAGTAGTCTCCCTCTCTTCTACACACCCTAACCTGAGCCTCACTATCCTCATAAAAACTCTTTACAGCATTTAATAACTTACCACCTATTCCATATACTTGCAACATCTGCCACATTGCTCCTCTATCCAATCTATCATATGCCTTTTCTAAATCCATAAATGCAATAAAAACTTCCCTACCTTTATCTAAATACTGTTCACATATATGCTTCAATGTAAACACTTGATCTACACATCCCCTACCCACTCTGAAACCTCCTTGCTCATCCGCAATCCTACATTCTGTCTTACCTCTAATTCTTTCAATTATAACCCTACCATACACTTTTCCTGGTATACTCAGTAAACTTATTCCTCTATAATTTTTACAGTCTCTTTTGTCCCCTTTCCCTTTATATAAAGGGACTATACATGCTCTCTGCCAATCCCTAGGTACCTTCCCCTCTTTCATACATTTATTAAACAAAAGTACCAACCACTCCAACACTATATATCCCCCTGCTTTTAACATTTCTGTCATGATCCCATCAGTTCCAGCTGCTTTACCCCCTTTCATTTTACGTAATGCCTCACGTACCTCACCCACACTTACATTCTGCTCTTCTTCACTCCTAAAAGATGGTATACCTCCCTGACCAGTGCATGAAATTACTGCCTCTGTTTCTTCCTTAACATTTAAAAGTTCCTCAAAATATTCTGGCCATCTACCTAATACCTCCATCTCCCCATCTACTAACTCCCCTACTCTGTTTTTAACTGACAAATCCATACTTTCCCTAGGCTTTCTTAACTTGTTTAAATCACTCCAAAATTTTTTCTTATTTTCATTAAAATTTCTTGTACATACTGTATATAAAATTACATTCACATTTGAATTATATATTATAGAAAAGAGTAAATGTTTCTTAACTAGAGATGACTTTTAAAATGTGACAAGCTCACACAGACAATGTAAATTGCTAGAAATACTTATTTAATGTTGTTTTTTAGGTGAGAAGGGGCGGCGTATCAGAGAGTTGACGTCCCTGGTACAAAAACGTTTTGGATTTGCAGAGGGGTCTGTCGAACTATATGCAGAGAAGGTAGCACAGCGTGGTTTGTGTGCAATTGCACAGGCCGAGTCACTTCGATATAAACTTGTGGGAGGTCTCGCAGTCAGGAGGTAAATTACTTTCTCAGTTTTATAAATAATTTGAAAAAAACATTCTGTAAGTATAGTAACAGCTGTTCAGTCATCAGAGTAATTGAATAGCTATTACTATACTGTCTGCCTTTTGAACAAAAAGTATGAAACTTGTCCCATATGTGCTTTCTCCACTTGCATGCTGGTAAAGAAGTAAAAATAATTCTTTAGTAAATGAAAATTTCTTTAGAAATAGACCCACAATGCCACATTGTAGAGCTGTTGTATACATTTGGAAATGTCATTATTTGTTCAGTAATGTATGATATTCTCAATGCCCTGATGAAAATATCTAATAAAATGGCTAGGGAGAAGATGAAGGTCTTGTCCAAGGAAAGTAAAGTATGCAAAAGCAAGTTCTTGATTTTGAGCGAGAAGTGTAATATCACGATGGTTCTTATTTTTTTATTAATAGGTTATGAAGATGTGCACCTATAGTCATAATGAACCAAACATTGAATGACATTTTCTGAAACCCATCTTTGAGTAATTTTTTTTTTTTTTTCTCTCTTAACAAGTTGGCCGTCTCCCACCGAGGCAGGGTGACCCAAAAAGAAAGAAAATCCCCAAAAAGAAAATACTTTCATCATCATTCAACACTTTCACCTCACTCACACATAATCACTGTTTTTGCAGAGGTGCTCAGAATACAACAGTTTAGATGTATATACGTATAAAGATACACAACATATCCCTCCAAACTGCCAATATCCCAAACCCAGTATATATACAGTATATGGTGAATACAGTACAGCAGCTGCCCAAACAGTGAATGCTTAGTGCTTCAGTGTGTAGGGTCTGTGTAGATGGAGATAAGGCATTTGAAAAATATTTAAATTTTTGAAGTGTAATGAAAACTTTTATTAGTAAAACTACCTATCATAGTAATGAAAATTGATATGCAATTATGCATTGTAAGATTGGATGCTCTCTTATTACAGTACAATAATGTATTGTGGTTAAGTAGTACCTTGATAATTGGCCTGAGTAGGGGTTGGATTTTTTTATTGACTTTTCATTAGTTATTGCTAGTACTGCATTGTCATAGCTTAACATATCCATAAACAACTGCAAAAAAAAAAAAATCTGAAATGTAATACAAAAATCCAGTGTAGGCACTACTATCTCCAGACTTCTAGTTTGGCTTTCTAGTACCTTGAATTCTTTTATAAATGTTACCTTGCTTACACTCCAACAGCGTATCTCTCAAATCTCGTTTCCACTCCAGTCTTAATGTTTTCTTGTATGCCTGTTGGATTCTCCCTCCCCTGCCACTAAAAACCATCATGCCCACCCTCTAACCCATTATGGGAAGTCCCCCGGGTCATACTGTCTTGCTCCATTAAAAAAATCAACTGGGAAATGTAATGATGGGATGTTGGCATGGTGTCATTTACATGAGCCATTACTTTGTAAGTTTTAAGCTAAAGGTATTCCAGTACATAAATATTTTTTATTTGCAGAGCATGTTATGGTGTGCTCCGGTTCATCATGGAATCTGGCGCTAAGGGTTGTGAAGTTGTGGTGTCTGGTAAGCTCCGAGGACAGCGAGCCAAGAGCATGAAATTCACAGATGGTCTCATGATCCATTCTGGTGAACCTCGGCGTCATTACGTGGACACTGCAGTTCGTCATGTACACTTACGCCAAGGTTAATTTTTCATTTTATTACTTCTTGTAATTATTAACCCTTAAACGGTCCAAACAGATCGACGCTCAAATTCGTAGTGCTACAAAAGTAGATCTACTTTTTTTTTACATATTTTCAAATATAACAAAAAAAAAATGTAGATAAAAGTTTTTTTACACGTTTTCACATTAAAAAAAAAAAAGATCTACATTTTTTCTACATACTTTCAGATGTTGAAAAAACGTATATATATACGTGTGGACCATTTAAGGGTTAAGGAATGTGTTTGCTAGCTTTGAAAGTGTGGCTGAGATACACTAGCAATCATGGCAGTTTAAATACCTTTAGACAAATGGCATGCTCAAATAGGTGTCTTAGTAGGCAAGCAGACTTGTGGAGTTGGAGAGGATTTTTATTTTTTCATCAACATATGTTCAATATATCTGTTTGCTAAACATTTACAAAAGTTTATATATTAATTTTACAAGTAATGATTGACAAAAATGTAATCTGTAGCAAAATTAAGATGAAAATTTGAAAAAATCTGCATTATTTAAAATGCTTTGATTCTCAAGCAGAGTCATTTGTAACTTGGTAATATTTAGGTTATAATTTTAAACTTCAGGTGTGCTGGGTATAAAGGTGAAGATCATGTTGCCATGGGACCCAACTGGCAAGAATGGCCCACGTACACCACTTCCTGATCATATCAACATTGTGGAGCCTAAGGAGGAGTTGATGCCTGCTGAGCCACATTCAGAAAACAAGATGGAGAAGCCTGCAGCTGCTGCTGCTGCCGCTGCAGCTGCTGCAGCGGCTGCTGCTGCTGCTGTTCCTGCCCCAGCACCAGCGCCTGTTCCCACTGAGTAAATTTAATACCTGTGAAGTATGGGGTAATAAAAAAAAATTAAAACAACAGAATGTGATTGCAATCCCTTCACAAAATGCATGGGCAGTAATGCAGGAATTTATGAATTAAAAAAAAAATCAGTATACTTCTTAATGCAGTGTAATTACATCAATGAAAGCAATTTCATTGCAACACTCTTAATTAAATTTCATCACTGAGCTTACTAGACATTTTCACTAGATTCAAACTTTTAGTGAGCTAATTTATTTTTCTGCAGAAACATGTTTTCCTTCTTGGTAATTCTGTACAGTTTGAGAGTACTCTAGTTTTCTCTCTATCTCCTTAACCTTGCAACACTAGTCTGTTCTAGTACTGTACAGTGTTTTCAGTAAATGTAATACCATGTAGACTATTTCAGATGTCTTAAACAATGATGCACTCATTGGCTGTTGCATGGTTTCTGGATGACATCTGTAGAATACTTTTTTCCTGACTAAAAACAAGCTTATTTAAATTAGGTCATGTACTGCATTATTAGTTGTTGAGGGAGGGGGGGAATTTGAGGAATCAAGTTTTCTTGGAATTTTATCTACCCTCCCATTCTTTGAATCAAGTCTGATTACCTCCCATTTTCCAAATACTTTAAGAATGGGTGCTTAGAATTCCTCATGAATATAATTTTGAAATATTTCCATGCTTCTTTAGTAATCAAATTTGCAATTGTCATTTTCTGTATTGCCAAACCAAGAAAAAAAATGTTTGATATAGTTAATGATAAAATGAGAGTCTAAAGCAATATAATTTATTATGAAGGTTGAAAAAATACAAAGTAAAGATGCAGTATGGTACAGGTTAAGCATCCCTTATCCAAAATGCTTTTTGGGATTTTGGAATATGATGGAGATAGCTTGGGGATAGGACCCCAAGTCTAAACACGAAATCTATCTCATTTACAGCTTATACACACACACCCTAATGGTAGTTTTATACAATATTTTTTATGGTATTTTTAATAAAGTAGCATCAGCAGAATACCTATATCACTTGTTAAAAAATAAGTCGTATTTTCAGTCTTCACCTGTGATGGATTTTGATTATATGGCTACTGTTTTTTCTTATCACTGTTACCCATAAGGGTGTCTGCAGGCTTTTTTGACAGTTTCAATAATATCTTCGTGGTACAGAGCAGAGAATAAACACAACATGGTAATCACAGTGTGTAATACACACAGATCTGGCTGTGATGACAGTTGATAACAAATAGGTGCCAACAGTGTCAGAGCCCACCCAGGGTATGTGACGGTACATGTCACAACCGCCTTGTTATGCATAAACCTGTACAACTGGGAATCTCCCCAGAGGTAACGAGCTTTCAATTTGTGGTGTCAGTCAACACTCAAAAAAAAAAGTTTTGGATTTTGGAGCTTTTCAAATTTTAGATAAAGGATACTCAGCCTGTATACCAGTATCAGGAACAGGAAGCCCATAGTTCAATGAGCTCCCCCATTTCCATTAGGTAAAGGCAAAACTGTCCATGCATTTATCATCCATAGTTTGTGGTCAGACCAATTAGTGCTAAACAGGTGCAAGCCAACAAGTAGTAATTTCAGATACTTTTAGTAAGGAACACCTTCATGCAATATTTTACTGTGGGCCCCTCAAGGGAGGTCTCAGTTTTGTGAGACCCTATTATTCAAGGAATTAACCTTGTCCTTCCCTCAAGGGCTCCTTGATGCTGATGAGGGGCTTTTAGTTTGAGGGATCGGAAGTGCTTTAACCTTCCCTTGGATCAAATCTGATTGCTTTGGATTCCCCAGGTGCTGCATAACTCCTGAGGGTTAAGTACTTCCCCTCCATATAATACTTCTGACTTCTACACTTCAACACATTAACTGACCATGCTTAAAGTTTCACCTTGGCTGCACTTTTTTTTTTTTTTTATGGAAACTAACCTATTGGACAAACCTGGATTTAACTTTTTTACTTTTGCACTAACCCCGCATCCCCCCTTTACCCCTCATTCCCAACTTTAACACATACCTCAGTGCAGTATGGCCATTATGGGTTTGGAGCTTAAATTTATTATAGTATTTTTTTTAGGAACAGCCATCTCCTGCCAAGGCAGGACGACCCAAAGAAGAAAACACACACGTACTCAATTGCCATCTTTCAAAAGTGTGCTGACTCTTCACAATCACATTACCCCTATGATTGCAGCATCCCTACCCCTCCTTCAGTGTGCAGGCCCTGCCCTTGCCAGCTCCAGGACTCGAATCCAGCTGAATGGTTTCCCTGAATTCCTTCATAATTCACATTCCAACAGCAGTCCAGTTAAAACCCCTCTCGTCTCCATTCACTCATATCTAACCTGCTCACGCAAGCCCCTAAAATTCAAAAGCATCCTCTACTCTCTCCATCCATTCCTGGAATGACCCCTTTTCCTTCTACCTTCTGCTTTAGATTCATACACTTTCCTCAACCTGTCTCTCTTCTCTCTAGGCCCACCCAAACCACCTCAACAGTACATCAGCACTCTTGAATTATATCCTTGGTCATCCCATATTCTTTTGATTTCCATTGAATTCTCTTCATAATTTTCACATGACACATTGCTCTTAATTTTAACATTATTGCTACCTCTATACTCTTGTGCTGCAGCATTCAAAATCCATGTTTCTTGCTCATATAAATGTGTTGGTATTATACCCTGGTACTTTTTTTTTTCCTGCACAGATAAATGTTTTTCCATACACTTAAACATACCACCCACCTTTTTCCTTTCATCTGTTCTGTGGTTCATCTTGTCTTTCATAGACACTGCTGACATGTCTTCTTCCAAATATCTAAATACATTCACCTCTTCCATACTCCCTCCAATCTGATATTCAGTATCACTGCCTAAAGTTTATCCTCATCACATAATAACTTATTATTCCCATAACTATAATAATTACCCCACTGTGGGTGAAATGTATAATATGGCTTCCCTAATAAACCCCTCCAAGGATGTGCCTTGATGCCAGTGAGGAACTCTTGATTTAAGGAACAGGACGAGTTCTTTTCTTCCTTGGATCAAACCTTAATGCTTCCCATACCTTGGTGTGTGTAATTCCTATAAGTTTTAATGTTCACCTTGATTAAAATGAATTCAGTTTCCTGCTAAAAGTGTCTGAAATTGCCAGTTTGTGACCTGATATACTGAGCATGTGAATGTAACTTAAGAAATTATCAAAGGGGCAAAAAACTTTTATGTGGATGTTTGAGAATATTGTCTTTCAGTGAACATAGGAAAAATGGTGCTATTTACAAAAATAAAATTTACAGTAATAAGATTTATAATATATACAGTAGTACATTTACAATGTTCAAAAAATTTGTGGTTTTACAGAAAACTGACTTAATTCCTACATAACCATCTTTTCCTTAAGAGGTTTATTTGCAAGGATTCTATCAAAACTAAATCTCTCCAGGTTGATAGAGTGAGGTCTGCCGTCCAAGATGCACTCCATTGCTGCACAACCAACTGCTATAGACTGCTGGATACCTGAAAAAATGTAGTATAATGGATGCTATAATTTTGTGTATGGTAATTAGTTTTCACACAGTTGAGATTAATATATTGATGTTATATACTGTATACTTTGATTTCAGTTCTTTTTCATATGGTCCTTGGTATTTGAATTTACAAAAGTCAATAGAACTCATCTATAAAATTTAAGAATTTGCTAATTCTTTTGTTTAAAGGTAAAATTGTGATTAGTTTCAAGGGTTATAAATGGTGGGTACTTACAACATGACATAAATAATTTTGATAAATACTAAATAAAAGTCATAGTAGTTGGAGAAATACTTTTATTATAAAAATTTGATACACGTGTGGCTTCCCTGATCTATACAGCATAATACCCTTCAAGGGATAAGAGGGGTCACAGCACTGTAGGACCCTTTTGGCTTAGTGCTTTGCTTGATTATATTATAATGTAATAATATGATACACCATATTGTGTCTACCCTGATTTGTAAAACATTACTGTGCCCTTCCAAAGAGGATGGGGGATGCTTTGATGCTGATGAAATGTCTCTTAATTCAAAGAACTGAAACTACCCTCCACTTTCTTGGATCAATCCTTGGAAAAGTAGTAATGAATGACTGATTAAATTATGTAAAACTGAATGGAATTTAATCTTGAGGTTTGCATGTGTGAACCCTGTGCTCTACCACTAGATCATGTTGGTTACAGTAGGAAAGTCACAACCTATAAGTTGTCTACACTTGTCACAGCAGCGCTGTATAGCCCTTGTGGCTTAGCGCTTCTTTTTGATTATAATAATAATAATACACTTGTCACAATCTGAAATGTCAGCTATAAGCTTTTTTTTTTTTTTTTTTTTTTTACACCCACCTTCCCTTAACAATAATACAACTTAGGTTCTATCTCACCCCCTACAAACTAACATAGTCTAGGTGTAGATAGCATGATTTTCACACAGGAAGCCTTAGGGTTGATTCCCATCCATCATCAGGTGACTATGTTCATTCACTACAACTTCAGTGTTTTGAAGGGACAAGAGGCAAGCTAAGGTGGCTATAAACACTAGCTGTTGTAACCAATATGGCCTATTAGTAGTTTGCAAGATTCTCATACACAAAACTTCAGATTCAATTCCAGTCCAGTTTTACATGCTTCAGGCCTGATTACCTTTCACACCCATACACAGAGAGGTGCATGTATGTTAGTTTTCAAAACCATTCACCAAATCTGTGTATACACAGAGGGTTCAGTTTTAATGTTTTTAGGGCTTAAAATATCCTCAACAGTGGGTAAACTGGTTTTTATTACATTCATGGGAAAGAGAGCACTAAACTGGTAGGGGGGTCATATGGTGAGTACCTTGCATGCAGCCTTAATGACCCTTTGTGTAATCAAAACTATGAACCAAATTAACTAATAACCTAATCTCACACCCATATGGGTTAAGTGCTTTCTGTTGAATATAATGCCCTTAATTTCCCATGCTTTGTGTGAACTAGCAATTCCCCCATGAACACAATAATAGTTGGAAGTGCCAGCTTTATTGGATCTGGACTCAAGTGAGGTTTCTTGAGGTCAGTGATGGGCTCTTGATCCAAGGAATTGGACATTTTCTCCTTTCCTTGAGTTGAACCTAATTATCTCCTATTCCCCTGGCACTAAGTGACCCTTGTGAGTTTAGCACTTCTCCATCATAATTATGACATGCTGTTTAGAGTGTGAGCAGGGTAACATTTATGAAGGGATTCAAGGAAACTGGTTAGCCAGACTTGAATCCTGGGGGTGGGAAGTACAGTTCCTGCCCTCTGAGGGGGGGGGGGTATATTGCAGTTTGGAGGGACATTGAATTGTAGCATTGGTATGCTTCTGCTGGCGAGTTTCTCCTTTTTCATGTCATCCTACCTCAGTGGGAGATGGCCAGTGTGTAAAAAAAAAAAAAAAAAAAAAAAAAAAGAATGGAGTTTGTATGTTAGTGCAACTCACCATGGCCGCTGAGCCCTGTAGCAATGCACATGTTGGTGAACACTGGATGGAAGCCAATTATAAGGTTCTGGTCAAATGTGTTGTAGTCGTAGTAACCAGCATAAGCACTGTGAACCTAGAGAGAGACATAAAATATATTAATTATTGATATAAAAAATTACAACATTCTACTATAATATCACCTTTTTAGATGTCCCCTCAAGAGAGGTTCTTTGATGCCAGTAAGCTCTTGATCCTAAGAATTGGGTTTGACCTCACCTTCCTTGGATCAAACCTGATAGCCTTCCATTTCCCAGGTTATATAAACCCCTGTGGATTTAGCACTACCCCTCTTGCCATGAAAATAATTTAGACAATGTGAGATAATCTCTAATTAGTTTGGTGTTAATTTCATAATCTTAACTGCAGTTCTGTATGACTTGTTGGTTTAGTGCTTAGTTTTTATTATAATAAAATTATAATTACCTTTAAGAAACCAAGGGGGGTGTCTTGGTATTGTGAAGGGCTCTTATCCAAGGTATTGGAGCTACTCTTTCCTTGGACAAGCTGAATGCCTTCCATTTCCCAGGCATTATGTGACTTGAAAGGTATGTAGTGCTTCCCTCTTTGTTAACATAAAAAATAAATCCAAAGTTACTTCGATGTCCATCCTTAATGGTCTTTCCAATGCTCTTACCTCTTCACCAGTTGGTCACCTTGACTATCTCAGTATACACTATCCTTTTCACAGATTAAATCTAATTGCCTTCTATTTCCCATGCACTAAATGATTCCTATGGATTTAGTCCTTTCCTCTGATTATTATTGTAATCAGGAGAGGCATTTTCAAGTTATTGTATGGAAGCAGCTATGTGACTGTCATTTAAAAACAAAACTGGCAAATTTGGATCTACACAACCAAAAACGGTTCAAACTCTCTGGGTAAAATATTGCTGTATAGCCCTTGTGGCTTAGCGCTTCTTTTTGATTATAATAATAATCTGGGTAAAATATACTTATGTTAAACATTTTAAGCTGATCAGTAGATGCAATCTTGTCGTTCTCAAAATTACTGCACAATGTGTGACCCTTTCAGGCTTAACTTAAATTGATAATAAAGTTACTATACAGGAACCATGGATGAAAAAATAAAATCACCACCATAGGTATTCCCTTTCAAGGATATCTAATTTGACGAGATAAATTTATGTAATAGTACCTTTAAATTTTCAAATGCAGGTACCCGTTGGGCTAACACAGGCCATATATTTGTGTAAAAAAACTGATGGTCGACTTCGAGATCATCTGCTGGTGGCTCAGCACACTCTGGTGGGGACATCCCACAAAGGTAGAGTTTGTTGCTGCTACGCTCAGGCCGGAAGTGGACACCAGTGTAGTCGTTAAATATGGGGCAGTCGTCCCATGGACCATCTGGGGCATGCACACAGTATACGTACCGCTTTCTGGGATAGTAATGAAGATAAAAAATACATTAAACAAGTTAAGAATTATGCATTGAGAAATAGCTCTTACCTTATAAATTAAGCTGCATAAAAAAGAAAAAAATCAAGTCATTATGTTTTTGCATACAATGATAGCTATCTTTTGAAGACTGCTGTTTGTGTAAAACAATAGTTTTTTTTTACCTTGCTTCAGTCTCTGCAATAGTCCAAGTATGTTTCATGTAGGATCTACATAATACCCCTGTTCATGTAGCATCTCACTTTTCCCTACCCCTTGGGAAGTTCCAGCTGTTCGAGTCTGTTCTTTCTCTCTCCCTTGCTCGAAAGCCCAACTGTCTACGGTCGCTTCCCACTCTTTTTTTCTTGACCACTTCCACTCTCATTCTCATGCCATTGCAGTGTACACAGATGGCTCTAAGTCTTCTGACGGCGTAGGATTCGCAGCAGTGTTTCCGGAGAGTGTCGTACAAGGGCATTTACTGTCTTCGGCTAGTATTTTTACTGCTGAATTGTATGCCATCCTTGCAGCACTTATCCGTATTGCATCTATGTCTGTCATCATCATTTGTGGTTGTCTCAGACTCCCTGAGTGCTTTACAGGCTATACAGAAATTTGATACACCTCACCCCTTAGTCCTCCATATCCAACTTTGGCTACGACGCATCTTTACCAAGCATAAAGATATTGTTTTTTGTTGGGTCCCTGGTCATGTTGACGTACAGGGCAATGAACAGGCAGACACTGCTGCACGGTCAGTAGTATATGACCTACTAGTTTCATATAGAGGTATCCTATTTACGGACTATTTTGCTGCAATAGCTACCCACCTTCACACCCGTTGGCAACAACGTTGGTCTACTATGCTCGGTAACAAACTTCAATCTATTAAACCGAATATAGGTTACTGGCCATCTTCTTGTCACCAGTGTCGAGGTTGGGAGACTACTCTCTCCTGTCTTCGCATTGGCCATACTCGTCTTACTCATGGATATCTCATGGAGAGACGCTCTGCTCCTCTCTGTGAGAATTGTCAGGTTCCATTATCAGTCAGCCACATTCTGTTAGACTGCCCACTTTATCAACGAGCACGCAGAATTTACCTCCGTCGTCGTCTTCACTCCGCTGCTCTCTCTTTACCTTCCCTTCTCGCTGATGGACCCACCTTTCATCTGGACTCTCTCATTGACTTTTTGACAACAACTGACTTACTTCACAAACTCTGATACCTTCAGCTCTTTCTACCTCAATCTCTTGCTACCCTCTACCCCCGCACTATCCCCTGCCCCGCTGTTTTCTGTAACCTACTGATTGTCCCTTCCCCCTCCTGCCGCCCAATACCCTCGCTTCCTTTCCTACCCTGCAGCGCTGTATAGCCCTTGTGGCTTCTTTTTGATTATAATAATAATAATACATAATACCCATTACATAATTCTCTCCTGTCTTTTAACTCCTGCCTTTTCCTTCCTCCCACTCAGGTGTTTTCAGTTGATGAAATCCAAGGTTCGTGCCTCACCACTTTAAACCCTACATTCTCATAAGACCATATTTGTCGTTTTCTACCTTCTTGCCTGACTTTTTCACTTAGCTGACCCCATGATCCTCATGTCATAGGGGTATTCTTACCCGTACACTCACTAAACACTTCATTCACTGACAATATACCATCTTCTATCCTGCATTATCGATTCCCTGTTACCCTTCATGGAGGGTTCTTTAATGCCATTGAAGGTCTTGATTCAAGGAACTGAAGCTACTCTTACATTCTTTGTATCAAGCCAGATTATATCCCATTTCCCAAGTACTTCTCCATAACCTTAATGATAATCCAATTTTCAAAGGATAGAGCTGGTTTCAAGCATTATTTGTCATAATGATGCCAACATATCCTTCATAACACTGTGTACTAGCATAGAACTTTTACGAAAATTCAAAAGATGATTTGTAGAAACAGGTAATGTAGATTATGACAGTGTAAGTGAAGTTGGCACAATGAAGACACTAAGGCCATATGGTGTGCAGAAGTCTAACACCTACCTGGGCTCCACAGGTATGGGTGTTGACAGGGTTCCTGGTCCATTCCCTACACCTGCGAGTCGTCCCAGTGCACCAGACCAGGCCCCCGCCGCCACAACTACTGTCGAAAACCTTACCTCTTTCATCTCTCCACTCTGCAGCCTCACCTTCGCACAATATATATGTTGAGAATTAGAATAAAACATTTTTGTGTATGTTTTATTATAAATGTTCTCTTGGTTTTTAATTCATTTCTTTATACACTAATTCATCTGCATTATTCAGTACAAGAAATGGTGGAGGCTTGAACCTCCATCCACTGATTATATAAGACGTGCTACAGTGGTGTGCAAATTAATTGGGACAGGAGTAAATTTTGTGATTTTGTCTTGTCTTAATCTTCAGCTTCATGTAGTTTGGGTTCTTTTCTTCTTAGAAGTTTGCTACCAACTTCTATCCAACTGTGGTGTTACCCTGTGACTTGTAAGTGCTACAATAGCTGTTGGTCTGTACGGCTATTCCTGCAAGCATGCTCCATTAGTGAATGGTTGCCAAATTCTCCCCTTCAGTTCATGATTACTGCTGAAGTTCATGATGGATATTACACATAGGAAGTGTGCAAGTATTGCAGCTCTTAGAAAACATGCTGATTTGAGTATCAGATCGCCGAAAATTTGATGAGCCTAGCTGTCAACTTTTAACTGTATTCTGAGGAAAGCTGACGATACTGGTGATTGTTGAGCGCTGCGTCAAAGATGTGGACGAAAACGCAAGACACCTCACAATAACAAGGTTATCGTTAAGAAATGGTGTGAAGGATCCCAAGAAAAGATCTGCAGAGATCTGGATCCTTAAAGTTGGCAGAACTGCCAAAAGGCCGGTAAAGAAACGGTTACTGACCGCTGCTATGAAGTAAAAACGGCTGCGGTGGGCACTCGATCATAAGGAATGGACGATAGATGAAAGGAGAAAAGTTATATTTTCAGACGAGGCGCACTTTGAAGTACATGGGTACAGATCAGTAGAATTGATCGGAATTGACACATTCAACAAGCGCCAAAACACCCAACTAAGATGTTTTGGGGTGGTATTACTATTAAAGGCCCTGGACGGCTTGTTGAGGAAATGAACAGTGACAAATACAAGGCAATCCTGGCAACTCATTTGCTTCCCATTGTGGATACTTTCCTGATGAAGAAGGCATTTTCCAACTGGATCTTGTTCCATGAAACACTTCCAGAAAAATGCTGACATTCTTCCAAGAGAGTGGGCTAAGTATTCTAAATTGGCCTAGAAACTCTCGTGATCTCAACCCAATTGAGAATCTATGACCAATAAACAAACGCAGGATCTCGAAACAGAACTGTTCAACTGTGGAGAAGCTAATTGCTGCTGTTATTAATACCTGGTACCACGACGAAGAACTTGCCAAAATAAGTTCAACATTAGTCGATTCTATGCCAAATCGTGTAGCAATGCTTATAAAAGCAAAGGGTACTGATATCTCTTATTATAATTATCTGTCATATCATTGACGTATTTTTCAAATAAACATCAGTTTTCGACATACATGTCTTATTTCATCAGTGTCCCAAATTAATATACACACTACTGTACCTTCCTGGCTCACTTATGAGAGCCATAAGGAAGTAAATTATGTCTAGTCATAAAAATTAACAATGCAGAGTGAACCAACATATAATATACTGTACATCGAAGGGTGTATATATATCGTGAGAATACTTCAATCGCTATCAAAGGAATTAATTCGCGTATCCTTTATGTTAGTGTCTAGGTAGTTTGAGGCCTTAAACCTAACACATGAAATGAATTATGATTTCTTACTATGGCGGTAGTAAGGGTGGTGTGTGGATTGTGGAGGTGATCAGCAGGTGTCAGCACCTGGTGGTGGAGACCCGTCACCGCTCCAGACACATACACGGCACCTAGCGACACAGCCTTTCGTCGCAGCAAAGTCAACAGACTCCAAGGGTCAAACCTGACCGATATAAAACACAAGCCATTTGATATCTATTTGTCCCCTTAGGGAAAATGGGTACCTTGATGTCGATGAAGGACTCTTGATCCAAGGAATTGGGCTAATCCTCCTTTTCCCTGGATCGATCCTGAATGTCTCTCAGGCACTGTATAACCACTACGGGTCTTGCTCTTTCCAGTAAATAAAACGAATATGATGTTTATATGTGGAACAAGAGTTGGTAGTTCCCCAAATTACTATGTTTTTTTGGTAGTTCCCCAAATTACTATGTTTTTGCAATAAAGTTATTCATTTTCAATACAAATTTCATATTGCATGTCAACTAACCATCCTTCATTGTTGGTGCCCAGGACAGCGGCGGCCACGTTTCCAACTTGCAACCAGGGAAATTTAAGTTCCAACTCCCGCGGCCACAGCCACTCCACTTCAGCTCCCAGCTCCCTGTGTGTATGCTCACTTTAGAAGTGTATATTAAAATATTACTACGTTATCATAAACTGTAATTGTTCATAATGGATAATTCAGCTGTACTTGTTAATATACATTTGAAATATTCCTTCCTAGCTCATCTTCATCTGTATGTATAGTAAAATTCGAAGCACCCAAGCAATTTCAGTAGTTATATACAGTAGTATATTTTATTTTTACTTTTATCTGCTCGACTGCACATAGAATGTGAGTAAACAGCACAATACTGTACAACTTAAAATGTGAGAAAGGCAGTAATTATACTAATAAATATATCGAGAAAAAATAGACAGACTTGATGCCTAAACCTACATCTGCAGCCGGAAATTCTCTCTCATCTGCTCGACATAATCTTCGAGTGCGAGGAAGAGATAGCCCCGAGGTGTAAACTGCAGATCAGGGGGGTCAAAACCCTCCACAGCCAGCCGCTGGTGGACCTCTTTAAGGAACTTCATGCTGTTCATAGATAACTGAATGTTCTCTGCCACACTGAACTGCTGGCGAATGTTCCCAAGAGATAGAACAGTCGATGCCTGTTTATACTGCAATATAGATATAAGTAGATATAAGTGAGTTCTTGTCCTTTGGATGTAATTAGAACATTAAGGTAAGGAAGATTAAATTCTATTTCCAATCATATTCAAGTGCGTCGGAAGGTTAAAAAAAAAATATTTAATCTGCCTAGGAAGGTCTCGAAATGTTATCATTTCGGAGAAACGAAAAAAAATCCTACTCTGCAAATCTCGACCATAATTGATCAGGATGTAGTTTCGCTAACAAAGACTTTAGACTTGCAACATTAGATTTGCAACGTTAGGCTTGCAACGTTAGACCTTGCAACGTTATATTTGCGACATTAGACTTAATTAATAATTAGTTGCACTGGAAAAAGTGCTGAGCAAGGTGTGTAAAAGAAAATTTTAATGAACAACCGAAATCAGCAAGGTGATGATAGTAGTGGTACAACAACACATGCAAGCACAGCATGAGATTTTAATCTTAATGCCCCATGATATTTTCTGACCTTGTGAATACATCAAAGCTTGTTCTGCTGCTTCACGTTGTGCCACACCGTTGACAATACTACCTACTCCTCCTCTGTACTGGCAACACGTAATGCTAAATATATGTATTTCAGTTTGCCTCCAGGCATTTATAGTGGATTTCTGTTGCGTGAATTAAAAAAAATAAAAAACTAAGATTGTAGGTTGATTATTTTACAATTTCACTGCCATAAAAACAGCTTTAAGCAACACAAGGTGTGTGTATGTGTCTGCATGTGTGTGTATGTATGTGTGTACTCACCTAATTGTGGTTGCAGGGGTCGAGACTCAGCTCCTGGCCCCGCCTCTTCACTGATCGCTACTAGGTCCTCTCTCTCTCTCTCTGCTTCCTGAGCTTTGTCATACCTCGTCTTAAAGCTTTATATGGTTCCTGCCCCCACTACATCACTTGCTAGGCTATTCCACTTCCTGACGACTCTATGACTGAAGAAATACTTCCTAACATCCCTCTGACTTGTCTGAATCTTCAGCTTCCAATTGTGACCTCTTGTTGCTGTGTCCCCTCTCTGGAACAACCTGTCTCTGTCCATCTTATCTATTCCACGCAGTATTTTGTATGTCGTTATCATGTCTTCCCTGACCCTCCTGTCTTCCAGTGTTGTCAGACCGATTTCCCTTAACCTTTCTTCATAGGACATTACCCTTAGCTCTGGAACTAGCCATGTTAAGATAAGATTTCTTTCGGATTTTTAACCCCGGAGGGTTAGCCACCCAGGATAACCCAAGAAAGTCAGTGCGTCATCGAGGACTGTCTAACTTATTTCCATTGGGGTCCTTAATCTTGTCCCCCAGGATGCGACCCACACCAGTCGACTAACACCCAGGTACCTATTTGCTGCTAGGTGAACAGGACAACAGGTGTAAGGAAACGTGTCGAAATGTTTCCACCCGCCGGGAATCGAACCCGGGCCCTCCGTGTGTGAAGCTGGAGCTTTAGCCACCAGGCCACCGGGCAAACCTTTGCACTTTCTTTAATTTCTTGACGTGTTTAACCAGGTGTGGGTTCCAAACTGGTGCTGCGTACTCCAGTATGGGCCTGACATACACAGTTTATAAAGTCTTGAACGATTCCTTACTTAGGTACCTGAACGCTATTCTCAGGTTTGCCAAGGGCCCATATGCCGCAGCAGTTATCTGGTTAATGTGCGCTTCTGGCGATGTACTCGGTATTATACTCACTCCTAGGTCTTTCTCCTTGAGTGAGGTTTGCAGCCTTTGGCCTCCTAGCCTATACTCTGTCTGCGGTCTTCTTTGCCCTCCGATCTTCATGACTTTGCATTTGGCGGTGTTAAATTCTAGGAGCCAGTTTCTGGACCATGCATCCAGCCTGTCCAAGTATCTCTGTAGACCTGTCTGGTCCGCGTCTGATTTAATTCTCCTCATTAACTTCACGTCATCTGCAAACAGGGACACTTCTGAGTCTATCCCTTCCGTCATGTTCGCATATACCAAGAATAGCACTGGTCCCAGGACTGACCCCTGTGGGACCCCGCTTGTCACCGGCGCCCACTGTGATACCTCATCACGGACCATGACTCGCTGTTGCCTCCCTGTTAGGTATTCTCTGATCCATTGCAGTGCCCTTCCTGTTATACGCGCCTGATCCTGTAGCTTCTGTACTAATCTCTTTTGAGGAACTGTGTCGAAGGCCTTCTTGCAGTCCAAGAAAATGTGTGTGTGTGTGTGTGTGTGTATACACCTAATTGTGGTTCCAAGGGTCGATTCATAGCTCCTGGCCTGTGTATGTGTGTATGTTTTACTATTTTGTCAAAGGCACCTGTTCATAAGACACTTGGCCTGTTTGGTGTGAACTCACCTATATGTGGTTGCAGGGGTCGAGTCACAGCTGCTGGCCCTGGTGTGTGTGTGCATAGTTACTAATTGTCAAAGGCACTTGTCTACAGACATTTGGTCTGTGTATACACACACACACACACACACACCACACACACACACACACAACACACACACACACACCCACCCACACACACACACACACACCCCACACAACACACATATATATATAAATATATATATATATAATATATATATATATATAATATATATATATATAATCCAATAAGATCACAGTAAACAGGTGTTTTTAAAATAGCAAAACAACCACTGTGAAAGAGTATTGAATTTCCAAGCGCTTTCGTGACTACTCACATTGTCAAGGAACTCGGATAATGGAGTAGTCACGAAAGCGCTTGGAATTTCTCTATTCATTCACAGTGGTTGTTTTGCATATATATATATATATATATATATATATATATATATATATATATATATATTATATATATATATATATATATATAATATATATATATATATATATATATGTCGTGCCGAATAGGCAGAACTTGCCATCTTGGCTTAAATAGCAACGCTCATTTTGCCATATAGGACAAGCGAAAATTTGTTTTATGCAATAATTTCGCCAAAATTATTCTGAACCTAACAAAAAAAAATATACTTCACTGTGTTTGTTAGTATTAAATTATTGTAAACAAATCTAAAATATATATAGTTGGGTTAGGGTAAAATAAATTGTTCTTGTTGTAATAAAATTTAGGTAAGTTTTTAAGATTCTTTTGGTGCAAAATTAAAAGTTTTTACATTAACATTAATGAAAAAAATATATCTTTAAACGTATAAGAGAAAATTTTAGAAATGACTTAATTTTAAGTGAGTTTTGCTAATTGAAACCCGTTTTACATATTCGGCACGACATAAATATATATATATATTAATAATATATATATATTATATATATATATATAATATATTATTATATATATATATATATAATATATATATAATATATAATATATATATATATAGCAAAACAACCACTGTGAATGAATAGAGAAATTCCCCAAACGCTTTCGTGACACTCCCCATTATCAAGGAACTATGAAAGTAAAGCATCAAAGAAGGTATATAAGGGGTCTAGCCAACACCTCACTATCAGATCCCACAACAGTTAAACACCTGACGCGCGACTGGAGTTTACCTGGAGAGAGTTCCGGGGGTCAACGGCCCCGCGGCCCGGTCTGTGACCAGGCCTCCTGGTGGGTCAGAGTCTGATAACCAGGGTGTTACTGCTGGGTTCACGCAAACCAACGTACGAGCCACAGCCCGGCTGATCAGGAACCGACTTTAGGTGCTTGTCCAGTGCCAGCTTGAAGACTGCCAGGGGTCTGTTGGTAATCCCCCTTATGTATCCTGGGAGGCAGTTGAACAGTCTCGGGGCCCTGACACTTATTGTATGGTCTCTTAACGTGCTAGTGACACCCCCTGCTTTTCATTGGGGGGATGTTGCATCGTCTGCCAAGTCTTTTGCTTTCGTAGTGAGTGATTTTCGTGTGCAAGTTCGGTACTAGTCCCTCTAGGATTTTCCAGGTGTATATAATCATGTATCTCTCCCACCTGCGTTCCAGGGAATACAGGTTCAGGAACCTCAAGCGCTCCCAGTAATTGAGGTGTTTTATCTCCGTTATGCACGCCATGAAGGTTCTCTGTACATTTTCTAGGTCAGCAATTTCACCTGCCTTGAAAGGTGCTGTTAGTGTGCAGCAATATTCCAGCCTAGATAGAACAAGTGACCTGAAGAGTGTCATCATGGGCTTGGCATCCCTCGTTTTGAAGGTTCTCATTATCCATCCTGTCATTTTTCTAGCAGATGCGATCGATACAATGTTATGATCCTTGAAGGTGAGATCCTCCGACATGATCACTCCCAGGTCTTTGACGTTGGTGTTTCGCTCTATTTTGTGGCCAGAATTTGTTTTGTACTCTGATGAAGATTTAATTTCCTCGTGTTTACCATATCTGAGTAATTGAAATTTCTCATCGTTGAACTTCATATTGTTTTCTGAAGCCCACTGAAAGATTTGGTTGATGTCCGCCTGGAGCCTTGCAGTGTCTGCAATGGAAGACACTGTCATGCAGATTCGGGTGTCATCTGCAAAGGAAGACACGGTGCTGTGGCTGACATCCTTGTCTATATCAGATATGAGGATGAGGAACAAGATGGGAGCGAGTACTGTGCCTTGTGGAACAGAGCTTTTCACCGAGCCTGCCTCGGACTTTACTCTGTTGACTACTACTCTCTGTGTTCTGTTAGTGAGGAAATTATAGATCCATCGACCGACTTTTCCCGTTATTCATTTAGCACGCATTTTGTGCGCTATTACGCCATGGTCACACTTGTCGAAGGCTTTTGCAAAGTCTGTATATATTACATCTGCATTCTTTTTGTCTTCTAGTGCATCTAGGACCTTGTCGTAGTGATCCAATAGTTGAGACAGACAGGAGCGACCTGTTCTAAACCCATGTTGCCCTGGGTTGTGTAACTGATGGGTTTCTAGATGGGTGGTGATCTTGCTTCTTAGGACTCTTTCAAAGATTTTTATGATATGGGATGTTAGTGCTATCGGTCTGTAGTTCTTTGCTGTTGCTTTACTGCCCCC